CACCTTGAGGCCACGTGAAGTGTCGAACGCTCGCTGGCAGGAGGTCACGGGGCAGACCCAGGTGCCACGGGTCGACTGACTGAGATGACTGGCTGATGCACCACCTGTGCCCCCTACTGTGCCAACCTGCTGTGCTTTAGCCACCCGGCGCTCCGCTCGTTGTTCTAAGCGTCGCTCCTCTGCCCTCCGTTGTTGTTGGAGGGCGACTGCCTCCAACTGCCCAGTAGCATCCTTCACGAGCCTCCTCCACAGAGGCCGATCTTGACACCGCTGGTACCAGTCATCGGCAAGTCCACTCAGCTCCACGTCCTCCTGTACCACATCACTCCATCTCTTCTCTAGCCCGTGCTGCGCCCGCTTTGCCCCCTCAATCCGGCCGAACAAAAGCTGTTTCGGCATGCGGTGGCTGGGCATGCGGGCTACATGACCCAGCCATCGCAGCCTTGCCCGCCGGAGGAGCTCACCGATGGGACCTTGCCCAGATCTTTCAAGGATTTGTGAGCTCCTCACACAATCCAGTCTGGTTAAACCCAGGATGGATCGTAGGCAGGCCAGCCTAAATATTTCTAACCGCCGAAGATGTTCCATTAGGGGGGTCCACGTTTCGCAAGCGTAGAGAAGGGAGGGAATGACCGTGGCCGAGAAGACCTGAAGCTTAGTGCGGAGCGACAGACCAGGTAGCTTCCACACAGCGTTACGCAACCGATGAAAAGATATTGCCGCTCGACTGATTCGGAGTGAGACCTCTGCTGTTAAACTGGAGCCAGTCATAAGCACACTGCCCAGGTATGGGAAACTCTCCACTCTCTCCACAACTGCCCCATCACCGATCGGGAGTTGTGGGGGTGGAGTGTCCGATGGTACAAAATACCCAGGCAGGTGCTTAGTTTTGGTGGGGCTGATGGTAAGGCCCCACCTCTTAGTGGCACGCTCCAGTCTCAGCAGCAGCGTCTCCAACTCCTCTGACTGAGCAGCTATTACCAAATCATCAGCATACATAACGTGGTTGAGCAATAGGGAGCCATCCCTTGAACGCACCCGGGCATCGATCAGCCTCCCATTATATCTGTACCATATGAAGATTCCCCTGGTACAGCTATTGAAGGCTTCATGAACTACGTGGTCAAAATAGATGTTAAATAATGTGGGAGCCAGAGGACATCCCTGTCGCACCCCAAGGTGTACAGGGAATGGCTCTGACTCCCGGCCACGTAGTTTTACCCGGGCCCGCTCACCATCATGAAGGTCCTTAATGATCGTGAGCCAGAGGGTCAGGGACTCCAAAAGCACGAAGAACAACCCAGAGTCCAGGCCTATTGATGGTATCATAGTGCCTTGACCAGGTCAATAAAGCAGAGATGTAGGTCTTGTTGGAATTCCCTACACCTCTGCTGTAGCAGACGGACAGAAAATATGGCATCTGTGCAGGTGTCCGTGTGTGCGGTGTGTGGTGTATGTACCTGTGCGTGTGTGTGCGCTGTGTGTGGTGTATGTACCTGTGTGTGTGTGCGGTGTGTGGTGTATGTACCTGTGTGTGTGGTGTGTGGTGTACATACCTGTGTGTGTATGTGTGGTGTACGTACCTGTGTGTGTGTGCGGTGTGTGTGTGTGTGCTGTGTGTGGTGTACATACCTGTGTGTGTATGGTGTATGTACCTGTGTGTGTGCGGTGTGTGGTGTGTGTGCTGTGTTTGGTGTACGTACCTGTGTGTGTGTGGTGTACGTACCTGTGTGTGTGTGGTGTGTGTGGTGTACGTACCTGTGTGTGTGGTGTACGTACCTGTGTGTGTGTGGTATACGTATGTGCGTGTGTGGTGTGTGGTGTACGTACCTGTGTGTGTGTGGTGTGTGGTGTACGTACCTGTGTGTGTGTGGTGTGTGCTGTGTACGTACCTGTGTGTGTGTGGTGTACGTACCTGTGTGTGTGTGGTATACGTATGTGCGTGTGTGGTGTGTGGTGTACGTACCTGTGTGTGTGCTGTGTGTGCTGTGTACGTACCTGTGTGTGTGGTGTACGTACTTGTGTGTGTGGTGTACGTACCTGTGTGTGTGTGCGGTGTGTGTGTGTGCTGTGTGTGTGGTGTACGTACCTGTGTGTGTGTGCGGTGTGTGGTGTACGTACCTGTGTGTGGTGTACGTACCTGTGTGTGTGTGTGGTGTACGTACCTGTGTGTGTGTGTGCGGTGTGTGTGTGTGTGTGTGCGGTGTGTGGTGTATGTACCTGTGTGTGTGTGCTGTGTGTGGTGTACGTACCTGTGTGTGTGTGCGTGTGTGTGTGGTGTACGTACCCGCGAGCGTGTCCGCGTGTCCACGTGACCACGTGTCCACATGACCGCGTGTCCACATGACCGCGTGACCGCGTGTCCACATGACCACGTGACCGCGCGTCCGCGCGACCGCGCGTCGCGTCGCCCGGCAGACGTACATCTCTCCCGGCGCGGCGATCTTCCGAGCGGCCGACGTTTCGGGCGAGGCGGACGCGATGTTGAACAACATGCGTGTGTACGGCACCGCCTTCCTCGCCTTCATGGCCATCGTGGTGTTCGTGGGCGTCAAGTACGTGAACAAGTTCGCCTCGCTCTTCCTCCTCTGCGTCATCCTCTCCATCTTCGCCATCTACGCCGGCGTCATCAAGACCGCGTTCGCGCCCCCCGAGTTCCCGTGAGCGTCAGCGCGCGCACTCGGTCACGTGCTCGGTCACGTGCTCGCTCACTCACTCGGTCACGTGATCGCTCAATCACTCATTCACTCACACAATCGCACGGTCAATCACTCGCACGCTCACTCACTCGATCCGCTCACGTGCTCACTCACATGCTCACTCACTCGCTCGCTCACTCACTCACATGCTCACTCACTCACTCGCACGCTCGATCACATGCTCACTCACATGCTCACTCACTCGCTCGCTCACTCGCACGCTCACTCACTCACATGCTCACTCACATGCTCACTCACTCACTCGATCACTCGCTCGCTCACTCACTCACTCACACGCTCACTCACATGCTCACTCACTCATTCGATCACATGCTCGCTCAAATGCTCACTCACTCATATGCTCACTCTCTCACACACTCGCACGCTCAATCACTCACACGCTCACTCGATCACTCGCTCGCTCACTCGATCACTCAATCACTCACTCACTCAATCACTCAATCACACACTCACTCAATCACACACTCACTCGCTCACTCAACCACTCGCTCACTCGATCAGTCGATCACTCGCTCACTCAATCACTCACTCACATGCTCACTCAATCACTCACTCACTCGCTCGCTCACTCACTCACTCGCACGCTCACTCACTCACTCACCCACCCACTCACCCACCCACCCACTCTCCCACCCACCCACCCACTCACCCACCCACTCACCCACTCACTCACCCATCCACCCACGCACTCACCCACCCACTAACCCACCCACCCACTAACCCACCCACCCACTCACCCACCCACCCACTCACCCACCCACCCACTCACCCACCCACCCACTCACCCACCCACCCACCCACTCACCCACCCACCCACCCACTCACCCACCCACTCACTCACCCACCCACCCAATAATCCACTCACCCACCCACTCACCTACCAACCTCACCTGAAAACCCACCCACCCACTCACCAAATCACCCACCCACCCACCCACTCACCAAATCACTCACCCACCCACCCGCGCACCAAATCACTCACCCACCCACCCACTCACGAAATCACTTACCCAATAACCCACCCACCCAATTAACCCACCCACCCACCCAATTAACCCACCCACCCATTCACCCACCCACTCACCCACCCAATAACCCACCCACCCAATAACCCACCCACCCAATAACCCACCCACCCAATAACCCACCCACCCAATAACCCACGCACCCAATTAACCCACCCACCCACTCACCCACCCACCCAATAATCCACCCACCCACTCACCCACCCACCCAATAACCCACCCACCCAATAACCCACCCACCCAATGACCCACCCACCCAATTAACCCACCCACCCACTCACCCACCCACCCAATAACCCACCCACCCACCAACTCACCCACCCAATAACCCACCCACCCAATAACCCACCCACCCACTCACCCACCCACCCAATAACCCACCCACCCACCAACTCACCCACCCAATAACCCACCCACCCAATAACCCACCAACCCAATAACCCACTCACCCAATAACCCACCCACCCAATTAACCCACCGACCCACTCACCCACCCACCCAATTAACCCACCCACCCACTCACCCACCCACCCAATAACCCACCCACCCACTCACCCACCCACCCAATAACCCACCCACCCAATAACCCACCCACCCAATAACCCACCCACCCAATTAACCCACCCACCCACTCACCCACCCACCCAATAACCCACCCACCCACCCAATAACCCACCCACCCAATAACCCACCCACCCAAATAACCCACCCACCCAATAACCCACCCACCCAATAACCCACCCAACCAATAACCCACCCAGCCAATAACCCACCCACCCAATAACCCACCCACCCAATTAACCCACCCACCCAATAACCCACCCACCCAATAATCCACCCAATAACCCACCCACCCACTCATAACCCACCCACCCAATAACCCACCCACCCAATTACCCACCCAACCAATAACCCACCCAGCCAATAACCCACCCACCCAATAACCCACCCACCCAATTAACCCACCCACCCAATAACCCACCCACCCAATAACCCACCCAATAACCCACCCACCCACTCATAACCCACCCACCCAATAACCCACCCACCCAATAACCCACCCACTCAATAACCCACCCACCCACTCACCCACCCACCTGCTCACCCATTCAATAACCCACCCACCCACTCACCCACCCACCCAATAACCCACCCACCCACTCACCCACCCACCCACTCACCCACCCACCCAATAACCCACTCACCCACCCACCCAATAACCCACCCACCCAATAACCCACCCACTCACCCACCCACCCAATAACCCACTCAATAACCCACCCACCCAATAACCCTCCCACCCAATAACCCACCCACCCACTCACCCACCCACCCAATAACCCACCCACCCAATAACCCACCCACTCACCCACCCACCCAATAACCCACCCAATAACCCACCCACCCAATAACCCACCCAATAACCCACCCACCCAATAGCCCACCCAATAACCCACCCAATAACCCACCCACCCAATAACCCACCCATCCAATAACCCACCCACTCATCCACCCACCCAATAACCCACCCACCCAATAACCCACCCAATAACCCACCCAATAACCCACCCAATAACCCACCCACCCAATAACCCACCCACCCACTCACCCACCCACCCAATAACCCACCCACCCAATAACCCACCCACTCACCCACCCACCCAATAACCCACCCAATAACCCACCCACCCAATAACCCACCCAATAACCCACCCACCCAATAGCGCACCCAATAACCCACCCAATAACCCACCCACCCAATAACCCACCCATCCAATAACCCACCCACTCATCCACCCACCCAATAACCCACCCACCCAATAACCCACCCAATAACCCACCCAATAACCCACCCAATAACCCACCCACCCAATAACCCACCCACCCACTCACCCACCCACCCAATAACCCACCCACCCAATAACCCACCCACTCACCCACCCACCCAATAACCCACCCAATAACCCACCCACCCAATAACCCACCCAATAACCCACCCACCCAATAGCGCACCCAATAACCCACCCAATAACCCACCCACCCAATAACCCACCCATCCAATAACCCACCCACTCATCCACCCACCCAATAACCCACCCACCCAATAACCCACCCAATAACCCACCCACCCAATAACCCACCCACCCACTCACCCCCTCACCCCCTCACCCCCTCACCCTCACCCCCCCCACCCACAGTATCTGCATGCTGGGTAACCGCACCCTCAACCGCAACGACTTCGACGTCTGTGCCAAGACGGTGACGGTGACGGCGGCGACGGACGGCGGCGAGACCCCCAACACCACGGGGAGCCCGCTGGGCCCCCTGGGCCCCCTGGGCCCCCTGGGCCCGCTGGGGCCGCTGGTGCGGACCACGCGGCTCTGGAGGCGTTTCTGCGACTCGGAGCTGCTGAACGCCACGTGCAGCGAGTACTTCACGCTCAACAACGTCACCGAGCTGCAGGGCATACCTGGCGTGGCCAGCGGCATCCTCATCGGTACTCGCCTACCTACTCACTCACCTACTCACTCACCTACTCACTCACCTAGCTAGCTAGCTACTCACCTACTCACTCACTCACCTACTCACTCACCTAGCTAGCTAGCTACTCACTCACTTAGCTAGCTACCCACCTACTCACTCACCTAGCTAGCTAGCTGGCTACTCACTCACCTACTCACTCACCTAGCTAGCTAGGTACTCACCTACTCACTCACCTACTGGGAGCTGCTGAACGCCACGTGCAGCGAGTACTTCACGCTCAACAACGTCACCGAGCTGCAGGGCATACCTGGCGTGGCCAGCGGCATCCTCATCGGTACTCGCCTACCTACTCACTCACCTACTCACTCACCTACTCACTCACCTAGCTAGCTAGCTACTCACCTACTCACTCACTCACCTACTCACTCACCTAGCTAGCTAGCTACTCACTCACTTAGCTAGCTACCCACCTACTCACTCACCTAGCTAGCTAGCTGGCTACTCACTCACCTACTCACTCACCTAGCTAGCTAGGTACTCACCTACTCACTCACCTACTGGGAGCTGCTGAACGCCACGTGCAGCGAGTACTTCACGCTCAACAACGTCACCGAGCTGCAGGGCATACCTGGCGTGGCCAGCGGCATCCTCATCGGTACTCGCCTACCTACTTACTCACCTACTCACTCACCTACTCACTCACCTACTCACTCACCTAGCTAGCTAGCTACTCACTCACCTAGCTAGCTACTCACTCACCTAGCTAGCTACTCGCCTACTCACTGACCTACTCACTCACCTAGCTAGCTAGCTACTCACCTACCTACTCACTCACCTAGCTAGCTAGCTACTCACCTACTCACTCACCTAGCTACTCACCTACTCACTCACCTAGCTAGCTACTCACTCACCTAGCTAGCTACCCACCTACTCACTCACCTACTCACTCACCTAGCTACTCACCTACTCACTCACCTAGCTAGCTAGGTACTCACCTACTCACTCACCTACTGGGAGCTGCTGAACGCCACGTGCAGCGAGTACTTCACGCTCAACAACGTCACCGAGCTGCAGGGCATACCTGGCGTGGCCAGCGGCATCCTCATCGGTACTCGCCTAACTACTCACTCACCTACTCACTCACCTAGCTAGCTAGCTAGCTACTCACTCACCTAGCTAGCTACTCACTCACCTAGCTAGCTAGCTACTCACCTACTCACTCACCTAGCTACTCACTCACCTAGCTAGCTAGCTAGCTACTCACTCACCTAGCTAGCTACCCACCTACTCACTCACCTAGTTAGCTAGCTACTCACTCACCTACTCACTCACCTAGCTAGCTAGCTACTCACCTACCTACTTACTCACCTAGCTAGCTACCCACCTACTCACTCACCTAGCTAGCTAGCTACTCACTCACCTAGCTAGCTAGCTACTCGCCTACCTACTCACTCACCTAGCTAGCTACTCGCCTACTCACTCACCTACTCACTCACCTAGCTAGCTACTCACCTACTCACTCACCTACTCACTCACCTAGCTAGCTACCCACCTACTCACTCACCTAGTTAGCTAGCTACTCACTCACCTACTCACTCACCTAGCTAGCTAGCTACTCACCTACCTACTTACTCACCTAGCTAGCTACCCACCTACTCACTCACCTAGCTAGCTAGCTACTCACTCACCTAGCTAGCTAGCTACTCGCCTACCTACTCACTCACCTAGCTAGCTACTCGCCTACTCACTCACCTACTCACTCACCTAGCTAGCTACTCACCTACTCACTCACCTACTCACTCACCTAGCTAGCTACTCACTCACCTACTCACTCACCTAGCTAGCTACTCACCTACTCACTCACCTACTCACTCACCTAGCTAGCTACTCACCTACTCACTCACCTAGTTAGCTAGCTACTCACTCACCTACTCACTCACCTACTCACTCACCTAGCTACTTACTCACCTAGCTAGCTACCCACCTACTCACTCACCTAGTTAGCTAGCTACTCACTCACCTACTCACTCACCTACTCACTCACCTAGCTAGCTAGCTACTCACCTACCTACTTACTCACCTAGCTAGCTAGCTACTCACTCACCTAGCTAGCTAGCTACTCGTCTACCTACTCACTCACCTAGCTATCTACTCGCCTACTCACTCACCTACTCACTCACCTAGCTAGCTACCCACCTACTCACTCACCTACTCACTCACCTAGCTACTCACCTACTCACTCACCTAGCTAGCTAGGTACTCACCTACTCACTCACCTACTGGGAGCTGCTGAACGCCACGTGCAGCGAGTACTTCACGCTCAACAACGTCACCGAGCTGCAGGGCATACCTGGCGTGGCCAGCGGCATCCTCATCGGTACTCGCCTACCTACTCACTCACCTAGCTAGCTAGCTACTCACCTACCTACTCACTCACCTACTCACTCACTCACCTACTCACTCACCTAGCTACTCATTCACCTACTCACTCACTCACCTAGCTAGCTAGCTACTCGCCTACTTACTCACTCACCTAGCTACTCACTCACCTAGCTACTCACTCACCTAGCTAGCTAGCTACTCGCCTACCTACTCACTCACCTACTCACTCACCTAGCTAGCTAGCTACTCACCTACCTACTCACTCACTCACCTAGCTACTCGCCTACCTCCTCACTCACCCACCTACTCACTCACCTAGCTAGCTAGCTACTCACCTACCTACTCACTCACCTACGTACTCACTCACCTGGCTAGCTACTAGCCTACCTACTCACTCACCTACTCACTCACCTAGCTAGTTACTCACCTACTCATTCACTTAGCTAGCTACTAGCCTACTCACTCAGCTACCTAGCTACTCACCTACTCACTCACCTAGCTAGCTACTCACCTACCTACTCAATCACCTACTCACTCACCTAGCTATCTACTCACCTACTCACTCAGCTACCTAGCTAGCTAGCTACTCGCCTACCTACTCACTCACCTAGCTACTCACCTACTCACTCACCTACTCACTCACCTACTCACTCACCTAGCTAGCTACTCACCTAGCTACCTACTTACCTACTCACTCACCTACTCACCTACTCACTCACCTTGCTAGCTAGCTACTCATCTACCTACTCACTCACTCACCTAGCTAGCTACTCACCTACTCACTCACCTACTCACTCACCTAGCTAGCTAGCTACTCACCTACCTACTCACTCACCTAGCTAGCTACTCACCTACTCACTCACCTACTCACTCACCTAGCTAGCTACTCACCTACTCACTCACCTACTCCCTCACATACTCACTCACCTAGCTAGCTACTAGCCTACCTACTCACTTACTCACCTAGCTAGCTACTCGCCTACCTACTCGCCTACCTACTCACTCACCTAGCTACTCACCTACCTACTCACTCACCTCGCTAGCTACTCGCCTACTCAATCACTCACCTACTCACTCACCTACTCACTCACCTAGCTAGCTACTCACCTACTGACTCACCTAGCTAGCTAGCTACTCACCTACTCACTCGCCTAGCTACTCACCTACTCACTCACCTAGCTACTCACCTACTAACTCACCTACTCACATAGCTAGCTAATCACCTACTCACTCACCTAGCTACTCACCTACTCACTCACTCACCTAGCTACTCACCTACTCACTCACCTAGCTACTCACCTAATCACTCACCTAGCTAGCTACTCACCTACCTACTCACTCACCTACTCACTCAGCTACCTAGCTACTCACCTACTCACTCACTTACTCACTCACCTACTCGCTCAGCTACCTAGCTAGCTAGCTACTCGCCTACCTACTCACTCACTCACCTAGCTAGCTACTCACCTACTCACTCACCTAGCTACTCACCTACTCACTCACCTACTCATTCACCTACTCACTCACCTACTCACTCACCTAGCTAGCTAGCTACTCACTCACCTACTCACTCACCTAGCTCGCAACTCACCTACTCAATCAGTTACTCACTCACCTAGCTAGCTAGCTACTCACCTACTCACTCACCTACTCCCTCACCTAGCTAGCTACTCACCTAACTACTCACTCACCTAGCTACTCACCTACTCACTCACTCACCTACTCACTCACCTACTCACTCACCTACTCACTCACCTAGCTAGTTACTCGCCTACTCACTCACCTACTCACTCACCTAGCTACTCACTCACCTACTCACTCACCTACTCACTCACCTAGCTAGCTACTCACCTAGCTAGCTACTCACCTACTCACTCACCTAGCTAGCTACTCACCTACTCACTCACCTAGCTAGCTACTCACCTACTCACTCACCTAGCTACTCACCTAGCTAGCTACTCACCTACTCACACACATACTCACTCACCTAGCTAGTTACTCACCTACTCACTCACCTACCTAGCTACCCATCTATTCACTCACCTAGCTAGCTACTCACCTACTCACTCACCTACTCACTCACCTAGCTAGCTACTCACCTACTCACTCACCTACTCACTCACCTAGCTAGCTACTCACCTACTCACTCACCTACTCACTTACCTAGCTAGCTACTCACCTACTCACTCACCTAGCTAGCTACTCACCTACTCACTCACCTATTCACTCACCTACTCACTCACTTAGCTAGCTACACACCGACCTACTCTATAGTGGTGGTTGTGGTTGTTGTTGTAGTGGTGGTTGCTGTAGTCGTGGTTGTTGTAGTGGTGGTTGTTGTAGTAGTGGTTGTGATGGTGGTTGTGTAGAGAATCTGTAGAGCTCCTACACTGTAGTGGTAGTAGTGGTTGTTGTGGTTGTTGTTGTGGTGGTGGTTGTGGTGGTGGTGGTTGTTGCGGTGGTTGTGGTGGTTGTTGTAGTAATGGTAGTAGTGGTTGTAGTGGTGGTTGTGGTGGTTGTTTTAGTGGTGGTTGTAGTGGTTGCTGTAGTGGTGGTTGTGGTGGTTGTGTAGAGAATCTGTGGAACTCCTACACTGTTATGGTTGTGGTTGTGGTGGTTGTTGTAGTAGTGGTTGTGGTGGTTGTTGTAGTGGTGGTGGTGGTGGTTGTGGTTGTTGTGGTGTTGTTGTGTAGATGTTGCACACTCGAAATGAAGGACATGGGCAAGTGCTCCAAATCGAGGGCAAGCACATTTATTGTGGTTAATCTGTAATCTTGTGAAGAACAGCGCCGTCACTCTGTAAAATGCACCAACACGTGTGAGTCGCGAGTCGCCATTAACCACGTGGCGGGTTTACAAGCGCGGTTAATCATTAACCCTGCCAGCCACCTACAGGCCCAGCTCAGTCATCACATGCTGATGTACACACACGTGCACTAATGCACCGCACAGCACACCAGGACGTTCATAGGACTACACTTTTACTCCCTTGCTGCACAAGGATATCATTAAAATAGTGGTCCCTTCCTAATGTGCCACATAGAGAATCTGTGGAACTCCTACACTGTAGTGGTTTAGGAATAGGTTTTACCCTTTTAACTGGCACAAAAACTGACACCTTTATTCAAGGCATCATGTTTGCAATGACCACAACACAAGCAGTCAAAATGCCTTGAATAAAGGTGTCAGTTTTTGTGCCAGTTAAAAGGGTAAAACCTATTCTCATATCTTGTTTCTGGCAAAGGAGGTCTCATAATGTTAATGCTCACCCCGAGCCCTCAATACTCTGATAGTGCGCTGTTTTTGAGTTGTACGCCTTTTGGCGTCTTCTGGTCCAACACCAATGGAGACTAGGCTCTAAGAAAAGCTGTCTCGGGTGTGGACCAATCAAATTCAAGGACAGTGCATATTATTATCAGAGTTGTCTTTTTTGTTGGCATTTTGACTGCTTGTGTTGTGGTCATTGCAAACACGATGCCTTGAATAAAGGTGTCAGTTTTTGTGCCAGTTAAAAGGGTAAAACCTATTCCTATATCTTGTTTCTGGCAAAGGAGGTATCATAATGTTACTATAGTGGTTGTTGTGGTTGTGATGGTTGTTGTGGTGGTTGTGATGGTTGTGGTGGTTGTTGTGGTTGTTGTTGTGTAGAGAATCTGTGGAACTCCTACACTGTAGTGGTTGTAGTGGTTGTGATGGTTGTTGTGGTTGTGATGGTTGTTGTGGTGGTTGTGGTGGTTGTTGTGGTGGTTGTGGTGGTTGTTGTGGTTGTTGTTGTGTAGAGAATCTGTGGAACTCCTACACTGTAGTGGTTGTTGTGGTTGTGATGGTTGTTGTGGTGGTTGTGATGGTTGTTGTGGTTGTGATGGTTGTTGTGGTGGTTGTGGTGGTTGTTGTGGTTGTTGTTGTGTAGAGAATCTGTGGAACTCCTACACTGTAGTGGTTGTAGTGGTGGTGATGGTTGTGGTTGTGGTGGTTGTGATGGTTGTTGTGGTTGTGATGGTTGTTGTGGTGGTTGTGGTGGTTGTGGTGGTTGTTGTTGTGTAGAGAATCTGTGGAACTCCTACACTGTAGTGGTTGTAGTGGTGGTGATGGTTGTGGTTGTGGTGGTTGTGATGGTTGTTGTGGTTGTGATGGTTGTTGTGGTGGTTGTGGTGGTTGTTGTTGTGTAGAGAATCTGTGGAACTCCTACACTGTAGTGGTTGTTGTGGTTGTGGTGGTTGTTGTGATGGTTGTTGTGGTTGTGATGGTTGTTGTGGTGGTTGTGGTGGTTGTTGTGGTTGTTGTTGTGTAGAGAATCTGTGGAACTCCTACACTGTAGTGGTTGTTGTGGTTGTGATGGTTGTTGTGATGGTTGTTGTGGTGGTTGTGGTGGTTGTTGTGGTGTTGTTGTGTAGAGAATCTGTGGAACTCCTACACTGTAGTGGTTGTTGTGGTTGTGATGGTTGTTGTGATGGTTGTTGTGGTGGTTGTGGTGGTTGTTGTGGTGTTGTTGTGTACAGAATCTGTGGAACTCCTACACTGTAGTGGTTGTTGTGGTTGTGATGGTTGTTGTGGTTGTGATGGTTGTTGTGGTGGTTGTTGTGGTTGTTGTTGTGTAGAGAATCTGTGGAACTCCTACACTGTAGTGGTTGTAGTGGTTGTGATGGTTGTTGTGGTGGTTGTGGTGGTTGTTGTGGTGTTGTTGTGTAGATAATCTGTGGAACTCCTACACTGTAGTGGTTGTTGTGGTTGTGATGGTTGTTGTGGTGGTTGTGGTGGTTGTGATGGTTGTTGTGGTGGTTGTGATGGTTGTTGTGGTGGTTGTGGTGGTTGTTGTGGTTGTTGTTGTGTAGAGAATCTGTGGAACTCCTACACTGTAGTGGTTGTAGTGGTTGTGATGGTTGTTGTGGTGGTTGTGATGGTTGTTGTGGTTGTGATGGTTGTTGTGGTGGTTGTGGTGGTTGTGGTGGTTGTTGTGGTTGTTGTTGTGTAGAGAATCTGTGGAACTCCTACACTGTAGTGGTTGTTGTGGTTGTGATGGTTGTTGTGGTGGTTGTGATGGTTGTTGTGGTGGTTGTGATGGTGGTTGTGATGGTTGTGGTGGTTGTTGTGGTTGTTGTTGTGTAGAGAATCTGTGGAACTCCTACACTGTAGTGGTTGTTGTGGTTGTGATGGTTGTTGTGATGGTTGTTGTGGTGGTTGTGATGGTTGTGGTGGTTGTTGTGGTTGTTGTTGTGTAGAGAATCTGTGGAACTCCTACACTGTAGTGGTTGTAGTGGTTGTGATGGTTGTTGTGGTGGTTGTGGTTGTTGTAGTGGTGGTGGTGGTTGTTGTAGTGGTGGTTGTTGTTGTGGTTGTTGTTGTTATGATGGTTGTAGTGGTTGTGGTTGTTGTAGTGGTGGTGGTGGTTGTGGTTGTTGTGTAGATAATCTGTGGAACTCCTACACTGTTGTGGTTGTAGTGGTTGTGATGGTTGTTGTGGTGGTTGTGGTGGTTGTTGTGGTTGTGATGGTTGTTGTGGTGGTTGTGGTGGTTGTTGTGGTTGTGATGGTTGTTGTGGTGGTTGTGGTGGTTGTTGTAGTGGTTGTTGTAGTGGTTGTTGTAGTGGTTATTGTTGTTGTTGTGGTTGTTGTTGTTGTGTAGAGAATCTGTGGAACTCCTACACTGTAGTGGTTGTAGTGGTAGCGGTGGTTGTTGTGGTTGTTGTGATGGTTGTTGTGGTTGTGATGGTTGTTGTGGTGGTTGTGATGGCTGTGGTGGTTGTTGTGGTTGTTGTTGTGTAGAGAATCTGTGGAACTCCTACACTGTAGTGGTTGTAGTGGTTGTGATGGTTGTTGTGGTGGTTGTGGTTGTTGTAGTGGTGGTGGTGGTTGTTGTAGTGGTGGTTGTTGTTGTGATGGTTGTAGTGGTTGTGGTGGTTGTGGTTGATGTAGTGGTGGTGGTGGTTGTTGTTGTTGTGTAGAGAATCTGTGGAACTCCTACACTGTTGTGGTTGTGGTGGTTGTGATGGTTGTTGTGGTGGTTGTGGTGGTTGTTGTGGTTGTGATGGTTGTTGTGGTGGTTGTGATGGTTGTTGTGGTTGTGATGGTTGTTGTGGTGGTTGTGGTGGTTGTTGTGGTTGTGATGGTTGTTGTGGTGGTTGTGGTGGTTGTTGTAGTGGTTGTTGTAGTGGTTGTTGTAGTGGTTGTGGTTGTTGTTGGTGTTGTGGTGGTTGTTGTTGTGGTTGTGTAGAAAATCTGTGGAACTCCTACACTGTAGTGGTTGTGGTTGTTGTTGTTGTTGTGGTGGTTGTTGTTGTTGTGTAGAGAATCTGTGGAACTCCTACACTGTAGTGGTTGTGGTAGTAGTGGTTGTTGTTGTGGTTGTTGTTGCTGTGTAGAGAATCTGTGGAACTCCTACACTGTAGTGGTTGTGGTAGTAGTGGTTGTTGTTGTGGTTGTTGTTGTTGTGTAGAGAATCTGTGGAACTCCTACACTGTAGTGGTTGTGGTAGTAGTGGTTGTTGTAGTGGTTGTTGTTGTGGTTGTTGTTGTTGTGTAGAGAATCTGTGGAACTCCTACACTGTAGTGATTGTTGTAGTGGTTGTTGTAGTGGTTGTTGTTGTGGTTGTTGTTGTTGTGTAGAGAATCTGTGGAACTCCTACACTGTAGTGATTGTTGTAGTGGTTGTTGTAGTGGTTGTTGTTGTGGTTGTTGTTGCTGTTGTGTAGAGAATCTGTGGAACTCCTACACTGTAGTGGTTGTTGTAGTGGTTGTTGTTGTTGTTGTGTAGAGAATCTGTGGAACTCCTACACTGTAGTGGTTGTGGTTGTTGTTGTGATGGTTGTTGTTGTTGTGTAGAGAATCTGTGGAACTCCTACATTTTAGTGGTAGTAGTGGTTGTGGTTGTTGTTGTAGTGGTTGTGGTTGTTGTTGTTGTGGTTGTTGTTGTTGTTGTTGTGTAGAGAATCTGTGGAACTCCTACACCGCTGGCGGTGCGCGTCTTGAGAAGTCATCGCTGGGCTCTGTGGGCACCCTGGGGAGCGAGCGAGCGGAGCGCAGCCTCCCCTACGTCTACTCGGACATCGCCACCTCGTTCACCGCCCTCGTGGGGATCTTCTTCCCCTCCGTCACCGGTCAGCTAGCTCACTCACTCACTCACTAGCTCACTCACTCACTCACTAGCTCACTCACTCACTCACTAGCTCACTCACTAGCTCACTCACTCACTAGCTCACTCACTCACTAGCTCACTAGCTCACTCACTCACTCACTAGCTGACTCACTCACTCACAGCCTCCCCTACGTCTACTCGGACATCGCCACCTCGTTCACCGCTCTCGTGGGGATCTTCTTCCCCTCCGTCACCGGTCAGCTAGCTCACTCACTCACTCACTAGCTCACTCACTAGCTCACTAGCTCACTCACTCACTCACTAGCTCACTCACTAGCTCACTAGCTCACTCACTCACTCACTAGCTCACTAGCTCACTCACTAGCTCACTCACTCACTAGCTCACTAGCTCACTCACTCACAGCCTCCCCTACGTCTACTCGGACATCGCCACCTCGTTCACCGCCCTCGTGGGGATCTTCTTCCCCTCCGTCACCGGTCAGCTAGCTCACTCACTCACTCACTAGCTCACTCACTCACTCACTAGCTCACTCACTCACTCACTAGCTCACTAGCTCACTCACTAGCTCACTCACTCACTAGCTCACTAGCTCACTCACTCACTCACTAGCTCACTCACTAGCTCACTAGCTCACTCACTAGCTCACTCACTCACTCACTAGCTCACTCACTCACTCACTAGCTCACTAGCTCACTTACTAGCTCACTCACTCACTAGCTCACTCACTCACTCACTAGCTCACTCACTCACTCACAGCCTCCCCTACGTCTACTCGGACATCGCCACCTCGTTCACCGCCCTCGTGGGGATCTTCTTCCCCTCCGTCACCGGTCAGCTAGCTCACTCACTCACTCACTAGCTCAATCACTCACTTACTAGCTCACTCACTCACTCACTAGCTCACTCACTCACTCACTAGCTCACTCACTCACTAGCTCACTCACTAGCTCACTCACTCACTCACTAGCTCACTCACTAGCTCACTAGCTCACTCACTCACTCACTAGCTCACTAGCTCACTCACTAGCTCACTCACTCACTCGCTCACTAGCTCACTCGCTCACTCACTAGCTCACTCACTCACTAGCTCACTAGCTCACTCACTCACTCACTAGCTCACTCACTCACTCACTAGCTCACTCACTCACTCACTAGCTGACTCACTCACTCACTAGCTCACTCACTAGCTCACTCACTCACTAGCTCACTCACTCACAGCCTCCCCTACGTCTACTCGGACATCGCCACCTCGTTCACCGCCCTCGTGGGGATCTTCTTCCCCTCCGTCACCGGTCAGCTAGCTCACTCACTCACTCACTAGCTCACTCACTCACTCACTGACTCACTCACTAGCTCACTCACTCACTCACTAGCTCACTCACTCACTAGCTCACTCACTCACTCACTAGCTCACTCACTAGCTCACTAGCTCACTCACTCACTCACTAGCTCACTAGCTCACTCACTAGCTCACTCACTCACTAGCTCACTCACTAGCTCACTCACTCACTCACTAGCTCACTCACTCACTAGCTCACTCACTAGCTCACTAGCTCACTCACTCACTAGCTCACTCACTCACTCACTAGCTCACTCACTCACTCACTAGCTCACTCACTCACTAGCTCACTCACTCACTAGCTCACTCACTCACTCACTCACTAGCTCACTAGCTCACTCAATAGCTCACTCACTCACAGCCTCCCCTACGTCTACTCGGACATCGCCACCTCGTTCACCGCCCTCGTGGGGATCTTCTTCCCCTCCGTCACCGGTCAGCTAGCTCACTCACTCACTCACTAGCTCACTCACTCACTCACTAGCTCACTCACTCACTCACTAGCTCACTCACTCACTTACTAGCTCACTCACTAGGTCACTCACTAGCTCACTCACTCACTCACTAGCTCACTCACTCACTAGGTCACTCACTAGCTCACTCACTCACTAGCTCACTCACTTACTAGCTCACTAGCTCACTCACTCACTAGCTCACTAGCTCACTCACTAGCTCACTCACTCACTAGCTCACTCACTAGCTCACTCACTCACTAGCTCACTCACTCACTAGCTCACTCACTCACTAGGTCACTCACTAGCTCACTCACTCACTCACTAGCTCACTCACTCACCACAACACTCGCTAACTCACCACAACTCTCGCTCACTCACCAAAACACTCGCTAACTCACCACAACACTCACTCACTCACCACAACACTCACTCACCACAACACTCGCTAACTCACCACAACACTCGCTCACTCACCAAAACACTCGCTAACTCACCACAACACTCACTCACCACAACACTCGCTAACTCACCACAACACTCGCTCACTCACCAAAACACTCGCTAACTCACCACAACACTCACTCACTCACCACAACACTCGCTAACTCACCACAACACTCGCTCACTCACCACAACACTCGCTAACGCACCACAACACTCACTCACCACAACACTCATTCACTCACCAAAACACTCGCTCACTCACCACAACACTCGCTCACTCACTCACTCACCACAACACTCACTCCTTCACTCACTACAACACTCGCTCACTCACTCACTCACCACAACACTCACTCACTCACCACCACACTCACTCACTCACCACAACACTCGCTAACTCACCACAACACTCGCTCACTCACTCACCACAACACTCACTCACTCACTCACCACAACACTCGCTCACTCACCACAACACTCGCTCACTCACCAAAACACTCGCTCACTCACCACAACACTCGCTCACTCACTCACTTACCACAACACTCACTCCTTCACTCACTACAACACTCGCTCACTCACTCACTCACCACAACACTCACTCACTCACCACCACACTCACTCACTCACCACAACACTCACTCCTTCACTCACTACAACACTCGCTCACTCACTCACTCACCACCACACTCACTCACTCACCACAACACTCGCTAACTCACCACAACACTCGCTCACTCACTCACCACAACACTCACTCACTCACCACAACACTCGCTCACTCACCACAACACTCGCTCACTCACCAAAACACTCGCTCACTCACCACAACACTCACCACAACACTCGCCCACTCACCACAACACTCGCTCACTCACCACAACACTCACCACAACACTCGCTCACTCACTCACTCACCACAACACTCACTCACTCACCAAAACACTCGCTCACTCACTCACTCACCACACCACTCACTCACCACACCACTCACTCACCAAAACACTCGCTCACTCACCACAACACTCGCTCACTCACCACAACACTCGCTCACTCACCAAAACACTCGCTAACTCACCACAACACTCACTCACTCACCACACCACTCGCTAACTCACCACAACACTCGCTCACTCACCACAACACTCGCTAACGCACCACAACACTCACTCACCACAACACTCATTCACTCACCAAAACACTCGCTCACTCACCACAACACTCGCTCACTCACTCACTCACCACAACACTCACTCCTTCACTCACTACAACACTCGCTCACTCACTCACTCACCACAACACTCACTCACTCACCACCACACTCACTCACTCACCACAACACTCGCTAACTCACCACAACACTCGCTCACTCACTCACCACAACACTCACTCACTCACCACAACACTCGCTCACTCACCACAACACTCGCTCACTCACCAAAACACTCGCTCACTCACCACAACACTCGCTCACTCACTCACTCACCACAACACTCACTCCTTCACTCACTACAACACTCGCTCACTCACTCACTCACCACAACACTCACTCACTCACCACCACACTCACTCACTCACCACAACACTCGCTAACTCACCACAACACTCTCTCACTCACTCACCACAACACTCACTCACTCACCACAACACTCGCTCACTCACCACAACACTCGCTCACTCACCAAAACACTCGCTCACTCACCACAACACTCACCACAACACTCGCCCACTCACCACAACACTCGCTCACTCACCACCACACTCACCACAACACTTGCTCACTCACTCACTCACCACAACACTCGCTCACTCACCACAACACTCGCTCACTCACTCACTCACCACACCACTCGCTCACTCACCACACCACTCACTCACCAAAACACTCGCTCACTCGCTCACTCACCACAACACTCGCTCACTCACCACAACACTCGCTCGCTCACCACAACACTCGCTCACTCACTCACCACAACACTCACTCACCAAAACACTCGCTCACTCGCTCACTCACCACAACACTCGCTCACTCACCACAACACTAGCTCACTCGCTCACTCACCACAACACTCTCTCACTCACCACAACACTCGCTCACTCACCACAACACTAGCTCACTCGCTCACTCACCACAACACTCGCTCACTCACCACAACACTCGCTCACTCATTCACTCACCACAACACTCACTCACTCACCACAACACTCACTCACTCACCACAACACTCGCTCACTCACCACAACACTCGCTCACTCACTCACCACAACACTCACTCACTCACCACACCACTCGCTCACTCACCACACCACTCACTCACCAAAACACTCGCTCACTCGCTCACTCGCTCACTCACCACAACACTCGCTCACTCACCACAACACTCGCTCGCTCACCACAACACTCGCTCACTCACTCACCACAACACTCACTCACCAAAACACTCGCTCACTCGCTCACTCACCACAACACTCGCTCACTCACCACAACACTAGCTCACTCGCTCACTCACCACAACACTCTCTCACTCACCACAACACTCGCTCACTCACCACAACACTCGCTCACTCATTCACTCACCACAACACTCACTCACTCACCACAACACTCACTCACTCACCACAACACTCACTCACTCACCACAACACTCGCTCACTCACCACAACACTCGCTCACTCACTCACCACAACACTCACTCACTCACCACAACACTCACTCACTCACCACAACACTCGCTCACTCACCACAACACTCGCTCACTCACCACAACACTCGCTCGCTCACTCACCACAACACTCGCTCACTCACTCACTCACCACAACACTCACTCACTCACCACAACACTCACTCACTCATCACAACACTCACTCACTCACCACAACACTCGCTCACTCACCACAACACTCGCTCACTCACCACAACACTCACTCACTCACCACAACACTCACTCACTCACCACAACACTCGCTCACTCACCACAACACTCGCTCACTCACCACAACACTCACTCACTCACCACAACACTAGCTCACTCGCTCACTCACCACAACACTCTCTCACTCACCACAACACTCGCTCACTCACCACAACACTCGCTCACTCATTCACTCACCACAACACTCACTCACTCACCACAACACTCACTCACTCACCACAACACTCACTCACTCACCACAACACTCGCTCACTCACCACAACACTCGCTCACTCACTCACCACAACACTCACTCACTCACCACAACACTCACTCACCACAACACTCGCTCACTCACCACAACACTCGCTCACTCACCACAACACTCGCTCGCTCACTCACCACAACACTCGCTCACTCACTCACTCACCACAACACTCACTCACTCACCACAACACTCACTCACTCATCACAACACTCACTCACTCACCACAACACTCGCTCACTCACCACAACACTCGCTCACTCACCACAACACTCACTCACTCACCACAACACTCACTCACTCACCACAACACTCGCTCACTCACCACAACACTCGCTCACTCACCACAACACTCACTCACTCACCACAACACTCACTCACTCACCACAACACTCGCTCACTCACCACAACACTCACTCACCACAACACTCACCACAACACTCACTCACCACAACACTCACTCACCACAACACTCACTCACTCACCACAACACTCGCTCACTCACCACAACACTCGCTCGCTCACTCACCACAACACTCGCTCACTCACTCACTCACCACAACACTCACTCACTCACCACAACATTCACTCACTCACCACAACACTCACTCACTCACCACAACACTCGCTCACTCACCACAACACTCGCTCGCTCACTCACCACAACACTCGCTCACTCACTCACTCACCACAACACTCACTCACTCACCACAACATTCACTCACTCACCACAACACTCACTCACTCACCACAACACTCGCTCACTCACCACAACACTCGCTCACTCACCACAACACTCACTCACTCACCACAACACTCACTCACTCACCACAACACTCGCTCACTCACCACAACACTCACTCACCACAACACTCACCACAACACTCACTCACCACAACACTCACCACAACACTCGCTCACTCACTAACTTATTGTGGCTGGGGTGGTTATTGCGATTGTCGTGGTTGCTGTTGTTGTTGATGTGGTTGTGGTTGTTGTTGTAGTGGTTGTTGTTGTAGTTGTTGATGTGGTTGTTGTTGTTGTTTGTTGTAGTGGTTGTTGTTGATGTGGTTGTTGTTGTAGTTGTTGTAGTTGTTGTTGTTGATGTGGTTGTTGTAGTTGTTGATGTGGTTGTTGTTGATGTGGTTGTTGTTGTTTTTGATGTTGTGGTTGTTGTTTTTGCTGATAGTTGTTGTTGTTGTTGTGGTTGTTGTTGTAGTTTGTTGTAGTGGTTGTTGATGTGGTTGTTGTGGTTGTTGTGGTTGTTGTTTTTTGATGTTGTGGTTGTTGTTTTTGTTCTGATAGTTGTTGTTGTTGATGTGGTTGTTTGTTGTAGTGGTTGTTGTTGTAGTGGTTGTTGTTGTTGTTGTGGTTGTTTGTTGTAGTGGTTGTTGTTGTAGTTGTTGTTGTAGTGGTTGTTGTTGTAGTGGTTGTTGTTGATGTGGTTGTTGTTGTAGTGGTTGTTGATGATGTGGTTGTTGTTGTTGTTTTTTGATGTTGTGGTTGTTGTTTTTGTTCTGATAGTTGTTGTTGATGTGGTTGTTTGTTGTAGTGGTTGTTGTTGTTGTAGTTGTTGTTGTAGTTGTTTGTTGTAGATGTGGTTGTTGTTGTTGTTGTTGTGGTTGTTGTTTTTGTTCTGATAGTTGTTGTTGTAGTGGTTGTTGTTTTTGTTCTGATAGTTGTTGTTGTAGTGGTTGTTGTTTTTGTTCTGATAGTTGTTGTTGTTGATGTGGTTGTTGTTTTTGTTCTGATAGTTGTTGTTGTAGTTGTTGTTGTTGATGTGGTTGTTGTTTTTGTTCTGATAGTTGTTGTTGTTGTTGATGTGGTTGTTGTTTTTGTTCTGATAGTTGTTGTTGTTGTGGTTGTTGTTTTTGTTCTGATAGTTGTTGTTGTTGATGTGGTTGTTGTAGTTGTTCTGATAGTTGTTGTTGTGGTTGTTGTTGTTTTTGATGTTGTGGTTGTTGTGGTTGTTGTTGTTGTTGTTGATGTGTTGTGGTTGTTGTTGTTGATGTGGTTGTTGTAGTTGTTCTGATAGTTGTTGTTGTTGTTGTTGTTGATGTGGTTGTTGTTTTTGATGTTGTGGTTGTTGTGGTTGTTGTTGTTGTTGTGGTTGTTTGTTGTAGTGGTTGTTGTTGTAGTTGTTGTTGTAGTGGTTGTTGTTGTAGTGGTTGTTGTTGATGTGGTTGTTGTTGTAGTGGTTGTTGATGATGTGGTTGTTGTTGTTTTTTGATGTTGTGGTTGTTGTTTTTGTTCTGATAGTTGTTGTTGATGTGGTTGTTTGTTGTAGTGGTTATTGTTGTTGTAGTTGTTGTTGTAGTTGTTTGTTGTAGATGTGGTTGTTGTTGTTGTTGTTGTGGTTGTTGTTTTTGTTCTGATAGTTGTTGTTGTAGTGGTTGTTGTTTTTGTTCTGATAGTTGTTGTTGTAGTGGTTGTTGTTTTTGTTCTGATAGTTGTTGTTGTTGATGTGGTTGTTGTTTTGTTCTGATAGTTGTTGTAGTTGTTGTTGTTGTTGATGTGGTTGTTGTTTTTGTTCTGATAGTTGTTGTTGTTGTTGATGTGGCTGTTGTTTTTGTTCTGATAGTTGTTGTTGTTGTGGTTGTTGTTTTTGTTCTGATAGTTGTTGTTGTTGATGTGGTTGTTGTAGTTGTTCTGATAGTTGTTGTTGTGGTTGTTGTTGTTTTTGATGTTGTGGTTGTTGTGGTTGTTGTTGTTGTTGTTGATGTGTTGTGGTTGTTGTTGTTGATGTGGTTGTTGTAGTTGTTCTGATAGTTGTTGTTGTTGTTGATGTGGTTGTTGTTTTTGATGTTGTGGTTGTTGTGGTTGTTGTTGTTGTTGTTGTGGTGCAGGCATCATGGCCGGTTCCAACCGCTCGGGAGATCTGAAGGACGCCCAGAAGTCGATCCCCATTGGCACCATCATGGCCATCACCACCACCTCGCTCGTCTGTATCCTCCATGGCGGGGTGTGGGTGGTGGTGGTGGTGGTGGTGGGGGTGGTGATGGTGGTGGGGTTGATGGGGGTGGTGGTGATGGTGGGGGTGATGGTGGTGATGGTGGTGGTGATGGAGGTGGTGGTGATGGAGGTGGTGGTGATGGAGGTGGTGGTGATGGTGGTGGTGGTGATGGTGGTGGTGGTGGTGATGGT